CTCAGCACCTGAGAGGAGGAGGGGCCTCCTAGATCCCTGGTCTTCTGGAGTTGGCCTGCCGCCAACCGCTCAGCCGGGCTTTTGGGGGAGGGACCCCAAGGCTTGGACTTTGCGCCAGTTCAGGAAGGAGGCTCCGGAGCTTCTGGTCCTGGCCGCACCTGGAGGGCGGGGGTCCCTGCTGGGTCTAGTGCACTGACCCGGGAGTCGTGTCTGGGAGGGCTGGTCTAGGTGGCTGTAGACAAAACAGCGGACAGAGAGTGAGCGTCCTGAGTGATCTACGAAATGGGTACACGAGAGACGCCAGGTAGCCAGGCAACCACCGGCAGGCCGCGCGGAATCGGTGGGCCGAGTCTTCGCTACGGTCCGGCTGGGTCCCGCCCCGCCTGGCCCCCTCCAGGCCCCGCCCCAAGGCGGTCCCAGCCCAGGCTCCGCCCCCGGGAGGGCACTTCCGGCGCAGCGGAACCCCGGGTGCGGGCTGAGGTTGTCGGCGGGCCTGCTGTGCTATCTCGGACACGGCCCCATGAGCGCGGCGCCCCTGGTGGGCTACAGCAGCAGCGGCTCGGAGGATGAATCCGAGGCTGGGGCGCGGACTCGGCCCGGGGATGGGACCTGCCGTCGGTGAGGAGGGTGGAAGTTTGTCGGGAGGGCGCGCGGATTCGCCCGAGATCCGGACCGGACTTGAGCGTCAGGGGGAGGATGCGGGACGGCTCCTGGGGAAGGAAAAGGGGCGCAGAGGAAGGAAAGGAGGGTCCTTGCCTCTGGACAAAGCCCCAGAGTGCTCCCCCCGCCGCGGTGGGGCCCAGCTGGAAGGCAGGGCACGGGTTCGGGTCCAGCCTCCGCCGATGGCCTACTCCGTCGCCTGGCGCACATCGCTCTATCGTCCTAGGTCTGTTTCCTCGTTCGAACACTTCCAATAATAATAATTGCTAAAGCCTATGGAGAGCTTTTTCATGGATCCAGTAAATGTTCGTTGAGCACCCACTCTGCGCCAGGCTCGAGCCTGGGAACTCAGCATTGAACAAAACCTTCTCGGTGTCTTACTTCCTGGGGCTTAGGTTCTTCCGTGCCAGGCTTTATCTTTGCGGGGTGCTCTACAAGCAGTATCTCAATTGATCTCAATAGCTCTATCAGGTAGAAATAGACTTTACAGGTGAAGAATCTGAGATTCAGAATAACATGCTACTCCAGCTCAGGCCTGTCCAGCTAGGGAATGTGACCTCTGAACCACACATTGCTGCCTGCCCTGTCGTTTCCCATGGGGACCATGTGCCCTCTCCTAAGGTCTGCCTCCCAGAGTTGTTGAAGACCCCGGTGAGACAATACTAGGATAACAGCTTTGTGGCTATCTAGAAGCTGCTATCCACACCGAACTGGAAATACACACTCTGAGTCACCATGTATAAGGGTTTACAACTTTTGTATGTACAAAGGTAGAGAACGCTAGGAAGATAAATATGTTTGTTTTCTTTTTTCTCTTGCAGTGGCCAGGGCCCTATTCCCAGTCAGAAGTTCCCAGTACCTGACTGTGTGCTGAACATGTACCTAGGTACTGAGGAGGGACCTGAAGATGACAGTGAGAAACATGGGGGGCGTGTGCGCACCTTCCCCCATGAGCGGGGCAACTGGGCTACCCACGTTTACGTACCATGTAAGTAATGTCTGAAAGGCCAGAGGCGAACCAACAGGTGCCACTTGAGGGAGGAATCTGGCCCCAGCTATGAGGAAGAAACCAGAAATCTCTGAACTGGTAGTGGTAAAGAGATTGACTCAGCAGGGAAAGAGCAAGTTTCAAGAATTAGTGATTTTTCTGTAACTTTGGTTTCAGTTTTGAATTCGTTGCTTGAAATATATTTGTTAGCATTTTCTTTTTTTCTTTTTAAATTTTATTTTAAAGATGTGGGGTACAATTCAGGGTTAGGTATACAAATGTTGATTATGTAGGTACCTTTGTTGATAAAGTGTGGAAATCTTTTTTAATAACCCTAAATATGATGTTCTTGCTCATGAGGAGGTGACCAAAGGGAGGTTCTAGAGCATGTTGTCAAAGCCATCCCAGGATGCACCTGGCACTTTATTTCTGAGAGGTCCTTGGGTATGCAGGGTTCAAGTCCCACCCCCCCCACCCCTGATGAGCTGCAGCAGGCAGAAAATGTCCAGGCTTCAGCGTCAGACCTCACTCTACTACATCCGACCATGGGTGCCCTTTAGTAGGTTACTGGACATTGCAGAACCTCAGTTTCCTCACCTCCAAAATGGGGGTAATAGTAGTACCTATCTCCTAGGATTTTGGTGAAGATTAAATCAGATAAGCCATGTCAAGTTTTTAGCACAGTACACAGTGAGTGATGGCTCTTACTGTTTTGTGTTAGGTCAGGTAAGCTCTTGGAACCTCCATTTCTCCATTTGTAGAATGGAGATGAGATACTGCTTATGAACCAGGGCATTTGGGCAAATCGAGTAAGATGCTAGGGGTAAGAAAACTGTTAACTGTGCAGCTCTGTCACCTGTTTGGTAAAGAAAAAAACCAACAAATAATGTAAATGTATGAGAGTGGTCGTTGTGTGTTCTTTGTGAAGAATTGGAATCATGCTAAATGTCTATCAATAAACTGAATTAAAGAAATGCATTGCATTGTTTCTGATTAGATGATTACTATGGAGCTGTAATAGTGAGCATGACCTCTCTGTACTGAGTGGAAGGATGTGCAACATGTAGTGCTCTATGTTGAGAGCTAGCTGCAGAATCCTTTGAATGGTGTCCTCTCACCATTCAAAATAAAAATAAAATTAAAAAATAAAATAAAAATTTTATTTTTTAGCAAATAAAATATATCGTTAGTATATGCACTGAGAAAAAGCTATGGAAACAGGTACCAAAGTTTAACAGTCTTTATCTCCAGGGTAGTGGTCTTGAAAGTGGGGTGTATGTCCCCTGGGGGAAGGGTCAAAGTGATCCATTAGAATGTGAGAAGAAAAGCATTAGAACTTTTTTTTTTTTTTTTGAGTCGTGGTTTTCACTCGGTCACCTAGGCTGGAGTGCGGTGGCATGATCATGGCTCACCACGGCCTGGACCTCCTGGGCTCAGGTGATCCTTCTGCTTCAGCCTCCTGAGTAGCTGGGACTATAGGCACAACACCATGCCCAGCTAATTTTTTTAGAGATTAGATCTTGCTATATTGCCTAGGTTGGTGTTGAACGCCTGGACTCAAGCAATCCTCCTGCCTTAGCCTTTTGAAGTGCTAGGATTAGCATGAACCACCAGGCCTATCCTTAAATTTCTGTTTTATAATCCACATAATTTTACATCAGACATTTGTAATTGATAAATATAAGTTTATTGGAGTTATGTGTGCAAACATGTTTTACTAATGAACTGTGTGATCACAGTCGCTTAAAGACCACTACTCTAGGTTGATAGGATTTCTGGGCCCCCTGCTTTCTCCTTTGCATATTTTAAAACTTTTTTTTGGTCTTAATAGTCTTTATTTTTTAAAGCAGTTTTAGGCTCACAGAAAAATTGAACAGAAGGTACAGAGATTTCCTATTTTGTTGAGGATCTTACATCTATGTCCATGAGAAATATTTGTACTTTTCTTGTAATATTGTTGTCTGATTTTGGTATGTGGAAATGCTGGCCTCATAAAATGAGTCAGAAAGTATTCTTTTGGTTTCTATCTTCTGAAAGATAGAAGCTGACTGTAGAGAATTGAGATGATTTCTTCCTTGAATGTTTGGTGGAATTCCTTAGTGAACCCATCTGGGCCTGATGCCTTCTTTTTGAAAGGTAATTAATTATGATTCAATTTCTTTGATAGTTATAGGCCTATTGAGATTGTCTATTTTTCTTTTGTTTTGGCAGATTGTGTCTTTCAAGGACTTGTTCCAATTCATCTAGATTATCAAATTTATGGACCTAGAGTTATTCATAGTATTTCTTGATTATCCTTTTAATGTCCATGGAATCTATAGTGATGTTCCCTTGTCCCCTTTTTCTTTCTTTCTTTCTTTTTTTTTTTTAGTTCAAGTCTCACTTTGTTGCCCAGGCTGGAGCACAGTGGCATGCTCACGGCCACCGCAGCCTTGACTTGCTATGCTCTGGAGATCCTTCCACCTCAGCCTTCCAAGTAGCTGGAACTACAGGCATGCACCACCACGTCTGGCTAATTTTTTGATTTTTTTATTGTAGAGATGAGGCCTCGTCAAGTTGCCCAGGCTGGTCTTGTACCCGTGGGCTCAGAAAATCCTCTCACCTCAGCCTCCCAAAGTGCTGGGATTATAGGCATGAGCCACTGTGCCCAGCATGTCCCCTTTTTCATTTCTGATATTAGTCATTTGTGTTCTTTCTCTTTTTTTCTTAATTAGCTTGGCTAGAGGCTTATCAATTTTACTGATCTTTTTAAAGAACCAGCTTTTGGTTTTGTTGATCTTCTATACTGATTTCCTGTTTTCAGTTTTATTGATTTCTACTCTAGTTTTTACTATTTCTTTTATTCTACTTACTTTGAATTGAATTTGCTGTTCTCTTTCTAGCTTCCTAAGGTGGAAACTTAGATAATTGATTTTATTTATTTATTATTATTATTATTGAGTTGGAGTCTCCCTCCTTCGCCCAGGCTAGAGTGCAGTGGTACACACGCTCACAGCCACCCCAGCGTTGACCTTCTGGGCTCCAGCGATCCTTCTGCTTCAGCCTTCCAAGTGGCCAGAACTACAGACGCGTGCTACCACACCCAGCTATTTTTTATTTTATTGTAGAGACGAGGTCTTGCCAAGTTGCTCAGGCTGGTCTCGAACCCATGGGCTCAGGCAATCCACTCGCCCCAGCCTCCCAAAGTGCTGGGATTACAGGCTGAGTCGCTGAGCCCAGCCAGATAATTGATTTTAGATCTTCATTTCTAAGATGTACAATCACTGTCACAAATATCCTTCTAAAAAACTCCTGCTGCAGCCCACAAGTTTTGATAAGTTGGCCTTTAATTTTTATTTTGTTCCAAATATTTGTAAATTTTTCTTGAGATTTCTTTTTTGACCCCTGTATTCTTTAGAAGTGTGTTATTTAATCTCCAAGTATTTGGGGATTTTCCAGCTATATTTCTGTTATTGATTTCTTGTTTAATTCCATTGTTGCCTGCCGTCAGGAGTATGTTGTATGATTTCTTGTCTTTTAAATTTGTTAAGGGGTTCTGATGCTTACTATGTCTTTTCAGACTGTATTTTTGCCCTTTGGTATGTCTTGTAATTTTTTCTTGATAGCTGGAAATGCTGTGCTGTGTAAAAGAAGCTGCTGTAAATACACCTGTAGTAATATGGTGGCGAGGTGTGAGAAATAGGAAGCGTTCTATAGCCTATGATTAGGTCTCAGTCTGGGGGAACCTGTGCCCCTGGAATGTGAACTTCCCATGTTCTTCTCTGGGTCTCCCCTTTCTTAGGTGGGACAGGATGGCTAGAGGGGACTGATGTTGGGTATTTCAATCCCCCCAGGTCAGTTAGGGTCTGATAAAACACCATCAGGTTAGGCTCTGATTAAATCATTTCTACTGAGAGCAGACTTTGTTAAGAAGAACAGAATGTTCCCATATACAAGGGGGAACCCAAAAAACCTGGAATTTGCTTATAAGAAATTGTGTCTTTATTCTTCATGTTTAAACTTCAGTCACCTTCAAAGCACTCTCCATTTGATGCAATATACCTATCGAGATGCTTTTTCCACTGTGCAAAAGTTTTTGAACTTGTCAATTTTGATGCCTTTTAGTGCTTTTGCCATTTTTGTTTCACCTCTTCCATGTCAGCAAAACATTTCCCTTGGAGGACTTTTTTCATCCAGGGAAACCAAAAAAGGTCGTTTGGGGTGAGTTCAGGTGAATAGGGAGGGTGGAGCTTGGGGGGGGTCGTACCATTTCTGGTCAGAAATTGCTGAACACTCAGCATGATGTGGGCAGGTGTGCTCGCAAATCATCCGCCATGAAATGGGCAAATACGTTGAAAGAATCTAAAAAAAAAAATTCACTGAAGCCAAGCATAGCCTTTCACAATGCTAGCTTAACTGGTACACTGATGCCAATGGGTTCCTAGAACACTTACCTAGCAAGGGAAGCCTGTACTACATGGGACCTCTCCTCCAAAAAAATAATTCTGGTTTTGTTTTTTTTTTTGCATCTACTCTTATATTTCAGAATGCTTTCTTTCCCCTTCCCCTGCCAGAAGAGAAGGGTATTTTTCTCTGATACTCACTGTGAAACCCTGTTAGAGCTCCAGAAGGTAAAACTCACAAAAAGTGTGAGGTCATCACCCAATGACTGGGTCCCCTGGAGTTTTTGGCTCTCAGATTTATACACACTGAATCTCTGGTTTTCCTTTTACAGTTTGTAGCTCTATTACAGTTCTGGTTTTCCCTTGCCCTGGTTCTTACAGAGGTTTCAGCCCACTGGTTCAGTAATTTGTGAGACTCTGTATTCATATGTTGGTCTCTCCAATTTTGGAGTCCCTTGTGACCTTACGTCTCTTACAGAGAAGAATAGTTGTTGCTTTTTCAGTGTTCATCATTGTGTGTGTTATTAGGATGAGGTGGTAACTTCCAAGCTTCTTACATGCTTGGCCAGAAACCAGAAGTCCCCTGCATACTTCTTGTTTCCTTGAATTCTTTACAATGAGCGTGTGTTAAGTTTATAACCAGAAATTCCTATGAAAACATTATTAGAATACATATCTGGAGGCTGCTCTTAAAGTGATTTTCTCCCAAAATCCAGAGTAATAAGGACCCCTCTCTGCCTTCTGGGCTTTATTCAGCCATGACACCTTGGCAAAGTGAACAGCCCACTCTCTTCATTCTTCCCTCCCAGATGAAGCCAAGGAGGAGTTCCTGGATCTACTTGGTACGTTGCTGCCTCATGCCCAGACCTATGTCCCCCGGCTGGTGAGGATGGAGGCATTCCACCTCAGCCTGTCCCAGAGCGTGGTTCTGCGCCACCACTGGATTCTCCCCTTTGTGCAGGCTTTGAAAGACCGCATGGCCTCCTTTCAGCGGTGAGTGCTTCTCTCGGCTCCCTCTCCTCCAGGCGCCACCTCCGTTCCTGAGCTACTTTGGGCTTGTAGGGGTGGGGTGTGTATTACCCCACAAGCAGGCCAAACCTAAAGATAGAACACTGAACCTCTCCTGGGGCTGCCTGCTGTACATCTCATCCTGTGTGACCTTGGACAGGCCATGTCAGCTTGATGTCTCCGAGTCCTTGTCTGCTATATAGGAAAAACCAACTGTTTTTCGGTGTACTCTCACTCAGTATTTCCAGCACTTCTGTGACTAGACAGGGGAGTGGTTCTCACACCACCAGTCTCTAACTCTCCAGACACCAACTCCAGCCTGCAGTTTAACTCGGTTCTGACACTAACGACCTAGGGTTAGCACAGACCTAATAGGTTGGGAGTTCAGTCCCACAGGACTACCGTCCACTTCAGATGCCAGTGCCATGTTGGCCTGATTTCACTGCAAATTAGAGGTTCTGGTGATCCCCTCCTCAGGTTGGATTATTTTCTAGAATGACTCACAGAACTCAGGAAAACATTTCACTTACTAGGTTACCAATTGATACTGAGGTATATAAATGAACAGCAGATGAAGAAATACAGAGGGTGAGGTCTGAAAGGGATCCTGGCACAGGCACTTCTGACTCTGTGAGAGTTGGGGCCCACCAGCCTTCCAGCACTCGGGTGTGTTCTTGTTTACCAACAGAAGCTCTTGAAACTTGAACTTTGGGGTTTTTTATGGAGGCCTTATCACATAGGTAGGATTGATGACTCACTTGTTCTCTAGCTCCCTTTTCCTCCCAGGAGGATGGGGTGGGGGTGAGGTGAAAGTGCCAGGCTTCTAGTCATGACTTGCTCTTTCTGGTGACCAGCCCCCTCCAGGAGCCTACCAGGAGTTGCCTAGGGAGAACAGAGATGCTCCTATTGCCCAGAAATGGGAAGGATTTAGGAGCTGTGTTGGAAACTGGGGTCATAGACCAAATCATAGGACAAAAGATGCTTCTGGCCCCTCACTGCTTAGAAAATTACACGGGGTTTAGGATCTCAACATCAAGAACTGGGCAAGACCAACATATATGTCTTTTCTTAAGTCACATCTGTATACAGGTCATGGTAGTGGTGGTGCTACCTTAGGGAGGGCTTGTGAGGATGAAACGAGGTCACGCATGCCTTCAGCGTGGCACTTGCTAAAGGGTCAGAACTGGATCCCCTTTGGCTTTGTCTGTCAGCCTAGAGCTTTTCTCCCCCCTTATCTATGTTATACCTCTCCTCCTTCCAGAAATGCCTTTCCTGTTAGGCTTGACCAAATCAAACCCTGTTCTTTGCCTGAGGCTCTCCCGGTTGGCATCCCCAGAATCCCTCAGTCCCAGGGATCGTCTGGTCCTACAGTTGTTTACACCCTGGTGCTCATCTCACTTAGCCTCATACCCATCATTTTTATGTCTGTGTCCCCCTGTGGAGCCCAAGTTCCTCTGAGCCAGGACTGAGTTTTCTCTCGGAATCACCCCACGGCTTTCTTCCAGGTACTCTGCTCACTGTAGGCATCAGATAGATGCTTGTGGAGTGACTGAGCAGGAACAAACAACCCTGTTAGCATCCTCTGGACCCTTCGCTCTTGGTACTAGAAGGAGCCTAAGAAGTCCTCCAAGTGATGGTTTTCTGATTGCCTTTTATCAGCAGAGCCTTTCTTCAAACAAGGTGTTTCAGAGAAGCTTGATGCATAGATGTGTAACAGATAAAAGCAGAGGTCTTCTCTTTAAAGCCCCACCCTGCAGCTCAGGGAGCCTTAGACCCAGAGATTTTGTAGAATGCCTCTGCCCACTTGGAAAACCGTCCATTTAGTTGAACCCTTCTGAGGGCCAGAGGAACAAAGGATTTGTCCCAATCCAAATTCCTTAGCCAGAGAATTAGGACTAAAGCCCATCTCTCAACCTAGTCCCACCTCCTCCTTTTTTTGATTGTCACTGTCAGATCTCTTGAGTCATATGTATATTAACGGGACTCTTTTGATCACAGGTGCCAGAAACCCAGCCCAAAGAGGCTTAAACCAAAGGGGAATTCATAGGCTGGTATAACTAAAAGGTTTAGAGGTAGCACTGACTTCATGCATGAGTGGATCAGGATGACCGAAAGATGTCAGGTGGCACCTGACTCTTATCATCTCAGCTCTGTCCCCTCTGTGGTGGCTTCATTCTCATGCTGACAAAGGAAATCAGCCTTCTCAGGCTGATGCTGTACCAGCCTGGAAAGATAGCCCTCTTTTCTAATTGTCCAGCAAAAGTCATGGGAATGAGTGATTGGTCTGATTCTGCTTATGTGCCCTCCCTTTGTGAGTAAAGAGTTAACGAACCCTTTCCCCTTCTGCATGAGAGTACTCCCCTTGTCCTCCTGAAGCTCTGTTGCCTGGATGAAGGTGGGAGGCCAGCTGTGTCAGCAACGTCGCTCGTGGTAAAAAATGACCGACTGGCACACTGCACATGCACTGGGAAGACTATGCATGAACTAGGCTCCTGGGGGGAAGCCACAGCCTGGACTTCCCTACATGCAGTGGTTCTTTACCTGAGCAGGTACCTTGTTGGGACCTCTGGAAACTGCCCAAGGGGCATACTTGTGGCATCGTCCCTTACTCACTGGGGGACCAGAGAACAGCTCCTAGACCATTGGGCAGGCCCCACTGAGGATACGGATTTGATGTTGCCCTATGTCCTTAGTGAAGCCCAGCCAGGTATGGTCTCTCCAAGTGTGATGTCTGGTTGAGCCTAAGATGACCCAAAGTGGGCAGTGCCCCCCTGATTCTGTTGCTGCAGCTGAGAACATGCTGTGCTGTGACTGGCCAGGCCCAGGTTAGGTGCTGCCTGAAATAGGGTTGGAGAGCAGTCCTCCAACACACAGTCAGCAGGACAGGGGGTGTTGGCTGGGCATAAACATCCAGGATGTTTGTCAGACACCTTGCAGAACTCTTTGTGAAAGTTGCATTTAACCACGCTTCTGGTGATTCTTTCATCCCTTATGGTCTCCCAAAAAAGACTGTGTTAGGTTGAAGGCTGTGTGGGGAAGCAGAAAGTTGAATGACTGTGTGCTCTTGAACAAGTGTGAGACTACCCAGCATGCTGGTGGATTGTGTTCCCTTAGATGGGTGTGAGGCCCTTGGCCTGGGAGCTGTAAAATGATCTTTTCCTGTGACGGGATTTGCCAGGTTGTTCCATGAGCAGCAGGAAGCCAGTCTTCCCTCTAGTATCCCAGAGAACATAATCTGAAGCAGCCAGAGTCAAAGCATGACCTAGCTAAACCTGACTGATCCCCGTGTTTCTGATCTAAAGGGTAGGTGGGGGTGGGGGTTTCTGTCTCAGTTTCACAACAGAGACCCACTTCCCTTCACTAAAATGGTTACAGGTGAGAGCAAAGACTTTGAAATCAGGCAGACTGAGGTTCAAATCCTGGCTCACCAAATTCAACTTCACCAAGCTTCAGTTTCCTTTTCAGTAAAATGGCATCATTATAGTGAGGATTCCACAAACTGATGTGCACAGAGCCTTAAGCTTAGCCCCTGGTACAAAGGAGCTGTTCTTGTTATTGCTTAGACTAAATCGGAGTTGTCCTTGTTTAACCTGCAAGAAACGAACTGGCTCTTAAATGGTTTATTACCACCTGCTTGATGAATAAGACTCTCAGTCCCCATCAGTAAAGTTGAGATAGTCTCAAATTGCTTACTGACATGAACTGCTATTACCAAAGTGAAATTGTTGCCAGCATCTGGATGGTGCCATGTGTTACTTGGACTGCGTGATCTTAAGGTCTTGTCGAGTGCTAAAATTTTAGGATTCAATTTACCACCTGTCACAGGGTGACAGTATTAAGTATAAAAAGAGTTAACTGTATTTTCAAAACTCTTTTTTTTTAAAACATAAACTGTTTTTTTCTGCTTTTTTCCCCCTTATTATTCACCGAAAATATGGTCCTTCTTCTGAATTTCAGATTCTTCTTTACTGCCAACCGGGTAAAGATTTATACCAATCAAGAGAAAACCAGGTGGGTGCCCCCACCCTCAGTCACGACCAGAAGATTCTGTGGTGCAAAGATTGAGAGAATGCTTGTTTCTGGACTTGATTGTCCCTGGTTTTTTTTCACCAGCTGGATGACTACAAAGGCAGCTATCCCTAGATCTGAACCCTTTAAAAAAAAAATAACAAGGGAGCAGGGCTGGGCATGCCGAGGTTGAGAGTGAGAAAAGCCTATTAAAGTCACAAGACTGGTTCCCACCCAGCTGTGTCCCCAGTTGTCATGTCGGGCCTGTATCTTCACCTCTGTCCACACCAGCACATGCCGCCCCTGGATCCATCACTGAGTATTTCAGATGAGCCCAAAGGGCTTCGGAACGTTAGAAAGTATTAAAGTGTCAGATGAACCAAAGAAGAAATTGTCATTATCACGGTTTCAGAGGGAGCCTCCCTGTCTGTCCACTCATGGAGCCACCTTCTCTCACTTCTGATGGAGGCTCATTCATTGACTCGCCTGTTCCATGCTGCACAAACCTGTGAAGCAGCCACTTGTGCCAGACACTTGGTAAAGAGTCAGTTGCGAGGAGGCAGACATGCCCCTGTTCTTTGGGAGCTTATATTCTGCGGAGGAGACAGATAACCAGTAATGTGTGTGACTGAGGTAGTCAGGAGTGGTGGTGCAGGAGGGCACCCGGGAAGTGGCCAGGGAAATGCATCTGATGGCACCTGCAGATGAGAAGGAGCAAGCCCTGGGAAGAGCTGCCACAGGAGTGTCAAGTGGAGGACACAGCAAATCAAGTGACCCCGAGGCAGGAAAGAGCTGGGCGTGCTGGAGGGCTGGTGAGGTGGAGCCCGGGAGATGTGGGCGAGTGCTGGGAGGGGAGTCAGGTAGGCTTTAGCTCCTCCTGCAGGGCCTTCGAGGCCAGGTACAGAGTCTGGATTTTGAACAAGGAGAGACATGATCTGGTTTATGTTTCTAGAAGCTGGTCTATAAATTGACATCCACGTCTGTGTCCATGGCTAAGGAGTCTGGGGAAGAGACATGAGGAGCAAGTGTGGAAGCAGGGAGACAGAGAGAAGACACATGTCATCCAAGGGAGGGACAGTGGTGGCCTGGATTAGGGTGATGGCAGTGGAAGAGCGAGAAGTAGACACATCTGAGTTACCCTGGAGGCAGAATCAGCTGGAGTTTCCAATGGGTGGGATTTGTGTGAAGTCGGGATGAATTTGAGTCGACTCCTGAGTCGGGTTTGAACAACTCACCCCATTTTCTGTGATAGAAAACACTGGTGGGATGAAAATCAGAAGCTCCACTGGCACCTGTCTGTTGTAACCACTAGACTTCTCTGCCTGTTAGACCCCCAGGTGGAAATGTCAGGAGGGGTGCCAGCTGGAGATCCATGTGGGTGTCATCAGCTTGTGTGGGGAGGTGGGACCAGGTGAGGCCCCTTGCTGGAGAGAATGGATGGAGAAGATCTGAGGGCAGCAGAGGAGATGGGCCAGGAGGCCAGAGATGGGATCCCGTCAGGACTGTAGCGAGTGGCGTCTTGGGAGCCAAGAGAGAACGGGTTCCAAGGAGGGTAGGCTCAGCTGTTTCAGATACTGCTGAGGCCAAGATGCGGACAGCGAGGTGTCTATTGGCATTGGTAACATGGAGACCGCTGACAACTTTGACAAGAGCACTTCCTGCGAAGTGGGCTGGAGATGGAAGGTGAGGAAGTAGACAGGTGAAGGCAGATGAATCATCTTGAGAAATTTTGCTGAGAGTGGGATGGGGCTGGCTGAAGATGTGGCTTCAGGGGAGGGTTTTTAGAGATGTGAGACAGCATATCTGAGTGCTTGTGGGAGGAGTAGCAGATGTCAGAGAGCAAAGTCCTTGAGAAAGGGTCTCCCCTGAGAACCAGAGTTGTCTGCGGCAGGAGTGATGAACAGGTATGCAGAAGTTTCTAGGACTGTAGGCTCAGCCGTGGCCTGTGAGTGAGTTCCTGTAAGGTTATTAGACCCAGGGGAAGGAGGAGAGAGGGGTGGGTTGGAAGTGGGGAAGGAAGGTTTAAAGACAAGAGGAGAAGTCAGCTTGTGGAGCAGGAACGCGAGCTTACCAGGGGATAGGGTCAGGCTCAGTGCCCAGGCCTCTCGGCTTTCTGTCTGGCACATCCTCTGCCCCCACTCAGACGGTTTGTATTCTCAGAGGCCACATCTCATGCCCATGTTGTCTCCACTTCTCTCTCCAGGACCTTTGTTGGGCTTGAGGTCACCTCAGGGCATGCCCAGTTCCTAGATCTGGTTTCAGAGGTGGACAGAGTCATGGAGGAATTCGACCTCACCACTTTCTACCAGGTAATAAACAGGGCTGCTGTTTCACTGGCCCATCTGTAACTGGAATAAAGCCACCCTTAAAGAAGCCCTTGCAAACCAGAGAGCCTTTAGAACTTTCCCATGTGGAGTGGCCCGAATGCAAACCCTCAGAGAACACACCCCTGGGAGGTGAGGGGTCTGAGGTGTGGTCAGATGCAGCCCACCTGAAGTCCAACATTTTTTAGAAATCTTATCACATTTTAAATATGCTCAAGGCTTGTGCCTTCTACTCTATAATGTACCCATGTTTGTTTTTATATTTTCTTAATATGTAGTTGTCCCTGATAATTCTTAGTAAAATTGACCACCCAGGAAGAGTTGTAGGTTTGCATACCTTTCCGCCCCTGACCCAGGCCCCCTGAGAGTGCTTGGACTCTTAAGTTGACTGTCAAGGCTTTAAAGGTTCATTAGTTTTAGCCTGGATTGTCTCCCAGGTTTACAAATTTAATGAGTCTATGATATTTAAAGAAAAACCTCTGAGAACATGTCTTAGTTCAGACTGCCATATCAAAATACTGTGAACTGTAGTGACCTAGACAACAGAAATTTATTTTTGCACAGTTCTGCAGGATGGAAGCTCAAGGTTAAGGTACCCACATAGTTGGTTTCTGATGAGGCTCTTCCTGACTTGTAGAGGGCCGACTTCTAGCTGTGTTTTCACATGGTAGAGGGGGAGAAAGAAAGGGGTGCGCAAGCTCTCTGGTGTCTCTTCTTCAGGGGTACTAATCCCATCATGAGGGCCCCACCCTCATGACCTCATCTAACCCTAAACCCCATCTCTAAATGCTATCACTGGGGGTTAGGGCTTCATGAATCTGGGGGAGGGGGCACAATTCAGTCCATAGCAAGGGCCAGCGGCCTGGGCTATTTGACTGCCTGTGGAGGGTGCTGGGATGAGCAGTGAGGGTCTAGTGTGCCACAGGGTGGGCCGTGAGGGCAGCAGGGATACCATGACATCTCTGTTACAGACCTGTGATGGCTGGGCCTGCGAGGGCATCCAAGTGACTGCCTGCCTCCTGCTCTTCCTCTCTAGGACCCTTCGTTCCACATCAGTCTGGCCTGGTGTGTGGGCGATGCACGTCTCCAGCTGGAAGGGCAGTGCCTGCGGGAACTACAGGTGACTTCCTGGGGCAGGAGCATGGAGTGTGCTGGACTCCAGAAATGCGCAGCTAGATGTTGCAGGGGAGGGCTGAAATGGAGGCTAGGTGTGGGGGAGGGGAAGGGTTAGGCATCCACACCCGAATACCTGGGAAACAAATGATGGGGCAGGAGACCCTAAGCCTGGTCTGTGAGGAGCTGCGGCTTCCCTGTGAGTCCTAACCACTTGCCCAGAGGTCAAGGCTTGGGTCTGGCCGATCCTGGAAATGAGTGAAATGTGCCAGCCCTCAGAGCCTATCATATTTCGATAAGTGGGTGAAATGTTTGCCTTTCCCATCTGTGCCCTTGGAGGAGAACCAACAATGCAGGAGCGAGTGGCAGCTGATTCTCCGCCTCGGTCGGGAGACAGCAGGGAGTGTGGCTGTGCAGGAAAGTGGGCCTAGTGTTACTAGCACTTCTGTTTTTCAAAAGAAGCCAGAAATCTAGATTTGTATGTGTAACCTCTCAATTTCCAAATGCTCACAATCAATTTGGGTTTTTAAAAAATTGCTGTCCAGGCATGGTAGCTCACGCCTATAATCCCAGCACCTTGGGAGATACAGGTGAGAGAATTGCTTGAGCCTATGGGTTCAAGATCAGCCTGGGCAACATGGCAAGACTTTGTCTCTACAATAAATTAAAAAATTAGCCAGGAGTGGTGGGGTGCATGCCTGTAGTTCCAGCTACTTGGAAGGCTGAGACAGAAGGATCACCTGAGCCCAGCAGGTAGAGGCTGCAGTGGCTGTGAGTGTGACACTGCCTTCCAGCCTGAGCAAGAGTGAGACTCCAACTAAAAAAAATTGCAAGCCAAACAAACATGTGCAGGCTGAAGACAGCCTGTGGACTGTCATTAAGAAGCCACCTTGCTCTTGTCCTGATCATACTGGAGGTAGCAAAGAGCTCTGGTTTGGTTTGGTGACTCCAGCAGACCCAGGTCCCAGCTCTGGTTTTCTTGGCTTCTGTAACCCAGGGCTCTGAGTTTTTGTGTCCTCATCTATAAAACTGGGGTGATGGGACCAGCCTCATGAGGTCACAGAAGTGATTAGGCCGCATGACTAACACGGAGCTGGAGCTTCATGGTCTTGGGCTCCCTCAGCTTGCCCAGCCTCCAAAGGAGCGTCATAGCCTGGTTTTGTTGGCAGTGCCCCTGAGTCCCGGGTTCCCCTTAATGTGACTGTCCTCTCCTGGCTACTGGTTCAAGGAGATCGTGGATGACTTTGAAGATGCCGAGATGCTGCTGCGTGTGCACACCGAGCAGGTCCGCTGCAAGTCTGGGAACAAGTTCTTCTCGATGCCTTTGAAGTGAGCACCAGAGGCCTTCCGCATCCTGGCCCCTCCGCAGGCCAGGCAGAGATGGAGAAGCCTGCCAAAGTCAGAGGATGCGTTCAGCCTCCAGCTGGGAGGCCTCAGCCACACCCTGAGCCTGGCAAGAGGAAAGCCACTCCTTCTCCTTCCTGGGGGCTGGTTCTCTCTCCTGGTCCTTTGAGGTTGCCTGTTGGAGCCTGCTGTATTGTGGTCATTCCCAGAAATCGCCAGGAGAGGGCAGCCTGGGCATCCTAATAACTTCTGTGGTGGTTATGCAAAGAAACATTGGGGTCACCAGCGAGCCCACCCACATTCAGTCAGAATCTCAACTGCAGTCCCTCTGACAAATAACCCCTCCCTGCCCTCTCTCGCCTCCCCCACTTCAGCGGTTTGTGTGTTGATACTGTTGGCCTCAGGTCAGAGTTTTTAGAATCATCATCCCCAGGCTCATCCCTGGTCAAGCGAAAACATAGGTGCTGCAGTGGGCCTGTCACCCTCCCTCCTTGAAGTGTGTCGCTTTTATTTATTTATTTTAATCTCAGCCCCCTCCTGTGCCAGCAGAGGCCAGTTCAGGGCCAAGGTACAGGGTGCTAATTTGCAGTTCCACATCAGCTTTCTCCATTCCTTCCTCCCACTCGCCCCAGCCGAGTGCCTGGGGAGACAAGCAGATGTTTCATTTTGACCTGGTCGGTGGCTGAAAGCCAGGCCTCCAACGCACTGTGACCTCTGCTTCCCCATCAGCTTTCCCGAGGAGAGAGGGCCCTTCCCCAGCCCAAGTCTTCCTTCTGCTGTCCCCTGCTGCAGCCTGCAGGTATCCTGAGGGGACCCAGAGGAAGTGTCAGGCTTTCTCATCAGACCCTCACCAGGGCAAGGACCAGTCCTCTACAGTTGTCATCTGGTGACAGTTGAAGTCTTTTTGTATTATAGTTTTACATTATGTTCAACAAATTAAAATTGCATTTGTTATTTGGGATCTTGTTTTGGACTGCTTGTATTCCACACAGTAGAAAGACGACTTCCCTCTTCCCCACCCTCTACAGCTGTGATTCATGGTTGAGGGGTATTTGTGGGAGTCTCTGCTGTGACTTCTGAAGTGGCCTTGAGTGGCATTAATGATGCCTGGGTAAATGGGAGTAGGATGGGTCACCCAGCCTGCCGGTCCTGCCCAGAGTTCCCACGTATCCAGTCTAGGCTTGGCACGTGGCAGGGGTCGTCACTTCCATGTCTCAGCAGTGTGAGCAGACATTTAGGCCTTATACTACTCTCACACTAAGTACTCCCTAGGATCTTCTCATCTACCTCCCAGGAACCCCCTGAAAAACAAATAGGGTAGGAGTGGCTATTCTGCTTGTAAGCAAGAACACGTTAAGTAACTTGCTTGGGGCCACATGAGAAATAGAAGGGCCTGACTCAGCCCTAACCTCAGCTCCGGCCCTGGGACAGCCCTGTCCAGCCCTGCCCAGCACCTCCTGGTCAACCCTGGTCTCTGAGTGGGCTCACCAAGGCTTGAGGAAAAGTGGGAAGAGGAGTCTGTTACTCTGGCTCCCACGTGCCCCCTGCAACTCTGCCTTCCCTGGGGAAGCTCTACCCGAAGGCTCAGGAAATCACATTCTGTGCCTTGTTCCCCCACTGCATTGATCTGCTGGCTGACTGGCCAGTCGGTTGGTTCTTCTGGGAGACAAAGCGAGGCATGCCTTCTGGCTTATAAGCAACACGGCGATTGGCTGTGCAGCCCACACTTATTGACACCTGCTCTGTGCTAGGCCCTGCACTGGGCACTTTGGGTGAACCAGACCAGGTCGGCCCTCTGGATGCCCACAGTGGAGGGGAGCAGGCACGAAGTTACCACACTTCCAGGAGCTTGGGCACTGGCTCCCCTTGGGAGGGGCCGGCATAAGGCCGGGCCTCCATCAACAAGCCCAGGAAGATGGACTGGGCCGCTCCCCTGGGGAGGACGTGGTTTGGGGAGTCCGTCTGTGAGGAGGATGCAGCGACTTTGAGAAATGGGCCAAGATCAATAACGGGCTCTTCAATGGAGAATGGAAGGTGGTGATGGAGCAAGGAAGTTGGAGATTCGCTGAGGGGGAGGGGCGGCAGGCCGGCCGCAGGGGCTGGCGGCAGGGCCTGGCGGGCACCCAGACACTGAGTGTGCCTCGGGAGCAGAGCGCTCAGCAGGCGCTCCCGCTGACAGTGCAGCCCAGGCTCTTCCATAAGAGGAGATGTGCTGGGAGAAGCAGGGAGACAGCGCTGGAGACAGGGAAGCCCGGAGCAGGCCGGGGTCCCTCCAGGCAGGCTGGTGCACACAGTGCTCTTGACGGGGATGCTGCCACACCAGGGAGAGCACAGAATCAACACATCTGGCCTCGGTGTCCTCAGATGTTCCCCGCAGGGCAGGGAAGCGATCATCTCACGCCTGTTTGGCCCATTTCCACCTGGCATTCTCCAGCGCTCTCCAGACCACCCCGGCTTTGTTTCCAAGGGAGAGGGAAATTACCTTGGCTTGTTTGTTTATTCCTTGTCTTGGCACCCAGAGTCCCAAGGCCTGCCTCACCTTTGATGGTGCGCTTGGTGCAAGGCCTGAGGGGCCCCTGGAGGGGGCTGATGGGGGAGGGGCTCCAGCCCACAGCAACTTTCTTTTGAACAAGGGACCTGACTACAACCTGAGTCACAACCCTTCTTTTGCAAATGAGGAAAGAAACCCAAAGAGGGGGATAACTTGCCAGGGAAATGCGTGTGGGGGCAGGAACCCAGTGGCCTGGCTTCTAACCCAGAGCTTTTTACAACCCCTCACGCAGCATCAGGATCTCAAAATGAAACTGTGCCGAAACTCACTCTGGGCTTCAATTCAAGTGACTCCAAGAAAAAAAAAAGGGGTGGGGGTGGGGGTGTAGCGATATCAGCAAAATCAAAACATGGATAACGTTTAATCTAGTTGGTGGGAGGGCTGGAGTTCACACATTGCACCCTTGGGCCTTGGGTGCCTGCCAGATCGGGTGAAAACAGTCATCTTGTGAGGGATGGGTGTACAAACCCACCTTGGAGGGCTGAGAACCAGTCATTGGGAGCTTCAAGATCTGCTCACAGGGCATTTCCCTAAGGCAAGACTGACCCCAAGAGAGGAACTTCCAACACAGAAAACAATCACCAGACTCACTGACCACTGGCCTCCAAGAACCTGGCTCCCGATCCTGGGCTCCTCTCTTTACTAGATAACCCTCTAAACCCCATTTTTAAAAAAATTGGTTGATCAGGAATAAATATTGTGAAAGTGCAATGCAGTCAGTTAAACAGGGACAACCCCACTGTTCATTTCTGAAGACCACTGCACATTTCCCAAAAGCAAATTTCAAAATAGAGAATTTAGAAACCCATTTCCCGGATGAGGGAACCCACAAGGAAGTAAGTCCACGGAAATGGATGAAACTGACCCGTCTTTTCTCCAAACTCCAACCTCCTTTCTCCAAGGAAGCGCTGCCAAGCACCAGGTAGCGTCCCCCATCCGTGTTCTTTCTCTACACGCGCAGGTCGGTTCAATCAGGCCATTTTGGGGAGGTGAGCCCGGCTGGGGCGCCCCGCAGCCCCGGGGCCTACTCTGGGGAAAGCCTCGCTCGGGGAAGGACAGCTACCACTTCCAGGTCTGAAGAGAGGAGGTGAGTTCTCCGCTTTCCCTCGCCGGGCCCCCAGCCCTCACCCCCTGACCCGCCGGCCGGGGCTGCCCTTGGCCTGGACGCCGGGTCTCGGCGGACCTTTGCCCCAGGCCTCCTAGCTCTGGCTTGCGCGTCGACACCGTCTCAAGCTGCTTCCGGAACAGGACGAAATCTAGCAGGTTGAGCTTGGCGGGGAGGAGTGCCCGCCCGCCCAGCGCCGGGTCGGGCCGCACCGTCGCACTTCACTTGCACAGAGCAGTGGCCAAGGTGCGCAGACACCTCTTGCGAGCCAGGCCAGGAACTGGAAACCCTGCTAGCTCTCGCCCCAGCTCTACCCCACGTTCCAGATAAGGATAAGTGATTCGCTCACGCCCAAGCCGCTGCCAAGGGGCGCATGCGGACGCAAACCGTGTCCCTCCTAAACCTGAGCTCCCTCTGCCGCACCGCGACCCCCAGGCGCCCACCTTCTCACTCTGCGACTGAGCAAAGTTCCCGAAGAGCTAAAACACCCTGAAGCTGCTGAAAAGAGGCCTCCTGCGGACAATTTCCAGATTTCGGGGGGGGGGGGGCTTGAAACCGGACACTTTGGCCCGTCCCCCATGACCTCCTTCCCTCCCACCCCTGCCTCAGTATCCCCCTACCCTCCAGGAAGGGGAAGGCTGAGTAGTCCTTCCTCGCCCGCAGGGAGACCACGCCTTCCTCGCTCCGCGGGGGTCGCTCGGGAGGTCACCCCCGCCCCCAAGACGCTGGGTTGGGAGGGACGCGGAGCGAGCCGGGGAGTTTTCCCGCCGTCGGGGGAGAGTCCGCGGGCCACCCACCTG